CACACACGTTTCCTGTAACAGTACAGAGACCCTGTGGTGGGCGTGTGGCTGCACCTGTTTTGCGGATGAAGAGGAGCTTGAGCCGTGTGTGGCGTGTGTGGCATGTGTGGAGTTCCCGCAGCAGGAGGCCCCCAGCATGAGCAGGTGCAGCCCACCTTGGGAGAACGGGGTTGGTGGGGAAGGGGCCGCCGTGGTGGGACCTCCCTACTCCCCTCTGGCTGCCAGGAACCTTCACCCCTTAGCCGTCCTCTTTGGCGTCCCCTGCTGATCAGGTCTGGGGTTGCCACAGCCTCTGGCTCAGAGAGGGCCCCGGAGCTCTGAAGTTGTGTCATGAGAGTCCTCAAAAGCCAGGATGGGAGGGAGACCCACCATTGACTGGGAAGGTGGTCTCCCTGGCCCAATGCCTGGGACAGGGTCAGGCCATCAGGACAAGAGAGCCTGCTGGGAGCTGCTGGTGCCTGAGAAGGAGGTGAGAGCAAGGGGCCACTCAGGGCAGAGTGGGCAGAAGGGCAGAGGGTGCTGGTGGGCAGCTCGGGGGTCCGCTCCCCCAGCCCAGCTGACGGCCCTGTGTAGAGGTGAGAGGATTCGACAGCTCTTCCCTGCTGCAGGGCAAGTGTGCGCACCTCGGTGTCTGATGAACAAAACTACACACGCAGGAGCTGGCAGCTGCCTAACCTCGCTGTGTCCCTGGGGGGCCAGATGGTTAATTGTGGAGCGTTTGACCTAGTGAATTGGCTGGAATCCAGGCTGTGTCTCTGAGGCTCCTGTGTGTGTTTAATTTTGGAAGCTACTGGCGTGTTAATTGTGCAGGGCCGCATTCCCCAGGGCTCCTGCAGGTGCCCGCTGGGCACACCCTGAAGTCCAAACACCCTCAGCCACCGGGGGAGTCTGCGTAGCCTGTGCCTCTGAGGACACCGTGGCAGCGCCTCAGCAAGCAGCAGGTGGCAGCAAACACAGTCGACTTATAACTCTGACGAGACATTTTCCTGAGTTAGTAAAAGGTGCAAACCTGTCCTACACGAGGGAATGGGGACTTTCCCCTCTGTTCAGCTCCGGGGGCCTATTTTTTTTCTGGAATAGGCTTTTTTCCCCTTTTGCTCACAGAAGGCCGGTGGGCGGGGTTGGAGGGGAACAGGGCCCCTGGGCAGCGCACCTGGAATACAGGTAGGCCATGAGCCCCAGCGGCGTGCCGGCCTGCAGGATACGGGCCTTCTGCCGGCCGCTGCACGGGTGCTTGTTGACGTTGTAGAATATCAGGGAGGAGGACTCGTCCAGGGGGCTGAAGTCCAGCGTGTCGCAGTGGGCTGCCGTGATGTTCACGATCACCGGCAGGGCGCAGGGCTCCAGGCCCCAGCGCTCCGCATACATGACCTGGAGGGGGGCACCTGGTCACCCTGCCTCTGACGCCAGGGGTGGCGGGGCTTTCCAGCATCGTGGGCCCCTCGACTCAGGGCTGGTTCCTGTGACCGCACAGAGACCGACTGACCGGCAGCAGGAACCCAACTGGGGCGAGCGCCTTGCTGAGGAGGGGCCACTTGCCTGCAGATACTTCTTGACCAGGCCGAGGAACCGCACCTTGGACTTCATCTCCTCCAGCTGCCCTCTCAGCTTGGACAGCATGGTCTTCACCTCGGAGCCTGCGGGGCAGCGCGGTGTCGGCACGCTGGCCCCCGAGCCCACCAGCGCCTCTGCCGTCCTCCTGCCTTACCTTTATTCCGCTTTTCCTTCTGCAAGAGCTTCTGGTAGAACTTGAGAGTCTTCCGGTAGTTTCTCTTCTCCATCATGAGCTGCTGCTCCAGCTCCTGGCGAGCAAACAGAGCGTGTGAGCTGGGACAGCCGCGGCCCGGGCAGACCCTGAACATGGTTCACACGCCTGCAGAGTCCACGCAGAACCAGGACACCGAGAACATGCGAGCGCCGGGAGATCCAGGGAAAACGACTGAGCAGCACCTGCAGAACATCCGTGCGCCTCCATGGGGACGGGAGGCCTGCTGGGGTGTCCCAAGGAGGAGAAAGGACAGGGGCAAAGATTGGTGGTGAACAGCTGGTAAGTCAGGACTTGGAAGGGAGTGAACTCCACAGGCCTACTTTTAGAAAGTGAGGCCCTGGGAGGAATACTGCCCTTTATCACCGTCCCCCAAGGACGCCCAGCCCCAGCAGTCCCCATGCGTGGTCAGCGAAGGGGTGGATGTGGTGTTCAGGTGCTCTGGTCTGTCCCCACCCCTGGGTCATGGCCCCGCCCCTTGGCACCTGACTCCACCTCCTGAGCCCTTGTGCCACTTTCTGGCCTGACACTGCCTCCTGGGGTCTGGCCCCGCCTCCTGGGGGTCTGGCCCCCTCACTCAGAGTCAGGCCCTCACAGGGGTGGCTCAGGGTACAGTGTGTCTACAGCGGGGAGGGCTGTGCGTCCACCAGTTCCCTGCACCTTGGCCCTCATGGGAACAGGATGCCGA